TTCAGGTTCGTCTGGACCAGGAGGTTGGAGACTTGATCCATTACGGGATCGTCTCTACAAACTCCTCCATGGGCGACGACGTCGACGCAATATTGACGTCGGGGGTAGCCTGGGTCGACTGGCTAGCCCCTGACGTCTGCCGAGAACTGCGGGGAGGCTTGCAGCCTCTCTGCCCCATACCCTATATCAACCCGTCTGGCCAGCTGGTACAGTAAAGTCTGGCCAAACCCTCCTTTCTAAGGAGAGGCCTATGTCCAGCTGAGGACTAGTAAAGGCTGTTGATGATCCTATAAAGAAGTTATTATATTCTATAGGTATACATGACTAGTTATTGATGATAATTTAAACCACATTGAATAACAATACTATTATTTATGAATTTTCATGTGAGTTTTTGTGTAAATCTTTCAAGTAGCAGTAGTAGCTACGCAAAATTATGAACGGGTATTATGAAATATTAAAAAGAAAAGAAGGAGTCTTCCGCCAATAGCAACTTAATTAAACCTGTAGCCGCGTCATCTTTTGCCATCAACTGGTAGCTTCTAAAGGAGTGTAGCGGTGCACGCTCACACAATTTACCGTATTTGTGTACGTTTTTAATAAACAATGGCCGTATACATTTTTATATGAAACTAACAAAGCGCTTATGTTTTTATAAGGTGCATACACGCTTAGGAAACAGACACGTTTCTATTAAATTTTAAATCTGATTCCAATGAAAATAACTGCAAATTTTAGTCGCTGTTATTGATTACAGTATTTCATCATATTGCACAAATTGCCCATTAAACTATTATTTGCCCTAGTCGGGTATCGAACTCAAAACTTCGTACACTAAGAATTATACCAACAGACTCGTCAAATTTGAAACTAAAAAATACTGGTAAGTAAGACAAAAGTCTGACTCGTGAAGGATTTGAACCTTCGCCGATGGTCGAGGTACTTATTACATCGGCGTTCTTTGGCATACACTGATCGCGTGTGTGAATAGGGGCGTGGGAAGAAACCCACGCCCCTATTTACAGCAACTACGTAACGTAGAGAATACCACTTAATATTTTTAGACTGTTTTAGTAAGACTCGTTAGCTCAGTAGGTTAGAGCACCGATATATAGTTACACTTGATCATCGGAGGGCGAAGGTTCAAATCCTTCACGGGTCAGTATTTTTACCCTTCTCCTAAAAATTTGTTTACAAAATTATTCTGAATGTTTATAATAATTGTGTTTGTTTTGATGTTATTATCATATTTTACAATGAAATGTAATGATTATGATACATCAATAAGTGTTTCTATTAAAATAATATTATAATTTATTTATTTTAAATTAGTGTATTGTCATCGGTCCTCGATATATCTACAAAGTTTGAACGAATTCTGACCGTTTAAAGTCAGTCAAAATCACGCCCAAAGGAGTCGGTTTCAAACAAACAAACATACAGGTGAAGCTAATAAAAAGCGTCTAATAATGAATTATTCATATTATATGCTAAATATACTAAAATAAATCAATTACCGACCCAGAAAAAAATAGTAGTTGTTTCTGTATAAGATGACTACGAACATGGACCTTTAACTCTGCTATGTGTGTGCATATGTGTAGCCTTCTAAATAATATAAATAACCTGGAGAAGGAGGATTGACACACACATACATACATACATTCTTCAATTATGTATATATTCTGGATCATATGCACGGATGGATGGAAAGCAACAATTCATTCTTTCCGATTTCCTAATTTCATTTTAGGTAGGCACAGTTAAGAACAATGAAAAAGGAGCTCTCTGATTTTCTTTTATGGCTATTTGCCTATCTGACGACGAATCACCTCGGGAATATAATCGTCTTAAGACAAGACAAAGGCAGAAGAACAAATTGATGTAAGGAAGACGGATACGAGTATAAAACATAGAAATATTTTATGCATATAGATAGGAAGTGGTTATAATCCTCCTTGGATTATAATTACTTTATATTGACGTAGAAAAACATCCGTATGTGGTTGTAGGTGTCAAAGTACTTACTCTACTTGTTCAAGCTAAAAGAGCTGTCGATAACATGGATCATTAGGTCATATGACTGAGAAAACCGTTGCACGTCTAGAAATAAAAATATGCAAATTGTACGAGTACACACATCGATGAAAATGATGCATGTTGTAATCGACGTCATGTCGAATAAAGCATTCTGGATCATATGCAGAAAAACTCGTTAGCTTAACTGATTTGACTGCACGGATGGCGTAGTGGTTTAAGCGGTCGCGGTTGGTCCACGCCGCTTACACATGGGACGACGCTTTGTGTGATCCACAAATTGTTGATCTGAGCCTGGGTGTTCTTTGTGTCCGTTTCATGTATGTTTGTAAAGTCCTCTGCGACACAGGATATATTCCTAATGCGGGAGATGTCTTTAATTTTTTTTATTAAATCTTATCCATCAGTGGACGAAGGTTCGAGTCCTTCACGTATCCTTCACGTTTTTGTTTACTTATTTCTTAGACGTACTTTATCCAGTTTAAAAGAGTTTTGAATTTCACAGTTACGGACTTATTATACAAGCCGGATCAAAAAGGCGCTAAAACTGGGGCAAAACTGCAGCATTCAATTTTATAAATCTGAAGAGTGTTATTGGTTTCATTCCATTTTAAAGATTGCATCATTCACGTCTCACGTAATGCATACGTAATTCGTCAGTAATGCGGAGGAAACTAGTAAGTAAATTCATTCTAGTACTTGAAGACTCGTTAGCTCAGTAGGTAAGAGCGCCGATATATTACAAATCTTGACCATCGGAGGGCGGAGGTTCAAATCCTTCACGAGTCATATTTGATATGTATTTTGTTCTAATAACTTTAAATTATATGAAATTTTATCACCAGATTGATGTATAGGATATCGACATTGATATCTGTATATACGTGGGTCTTACATCTTCTTTGAAAGGGATCTTAAACAGAACAAGAAGTACTAAATGTGATTTTGGTATACTCACGTAATTGCAAAGACAACATAACTGAAGAGACGTGACATAACATTTGCCATTCCTTCAATTGAGGACATGAAGATTTAAACTATCACAAAAACTTCAGGGACTGGCATGTAATATACACCGTTTCCACTGCTGTTTTTGAAAACGATACATCATTTATTTTTACGCGTGGAAACCTTTTCGGACCGTCACCCCACCCCGTTGCGGTGGGGTTGTGTGTCGGAATAGGACCGACTAAAACCACACGGTGTACCACTCTGCGCCTGTAATACATACGTAGTATTGTAGTACATACGTCTGCTTGTTGTTGCTACTCCTGTTGATTAAAATATTTATTTTGTCTGCTGTATTTTGTTTGCCCATTTCAATAATCCCATTTGAACAAAAATCTACTGTTCACTATCTTGCCTGCATATCTGTGGAACAAATAACATAAATATTGGTAGTCTACTATATAAAAATAAGTCGGGTTTTCCTTCCTGACGCTATAACTCCAGAACGCACGAACCGATTGCCACGGTTTTGCATTCGTTGGAAAGGTCTCGGGCTCCGTGTGGTTTATAGCAAAGAAAATTTAGGAAAAATATCAACAGAAAAGAGGGAAAATCTTTTTTCACATACAGCGCTACAAACCAATATTTTAAGTAGATGGCGCCGGTGCGTGATACATTGTTTGACAGCTACTCATTGTTCTCTGCTCAGTTAATTTCACGTGACAAACCGGTATTGTGTTCACTGTTAAATTGTGAAAAAAAAGTAAAAAAAATAAGTTATTCGTTTCCTAACATTTCAATTGGAAACCATCAAATCAATCACGTGTAATGTGCAAATTTGAAAATCTTTTTTCACATACAGCGCCATCTCTTATACATAGCATGTACTACAACCCAATATTTTAAGTAGATGGCGCCGGTGCGTGATACATTGTTTGACAGCTACTCATTGTTCTCTGCTCAGTTAATTTCATGTGACAAACCGGTATTGTGTTAACTGTGAAATTGTGAAAAAAAAAGTAAAAAAAAATAAGTTATTCGTTTCCTAACATTTCAATAGGAAACCATCAAATCAATCACGTGTATTGTGCAAATTTTTATTCAATTTGCAATTATAAAACAGCAGGCATTTGTCTTTAAGGTGGTAAGTTGAACTGTGTAAATTATGTGGATCGTGCATTTGAGGTTAAATTTACCACTCTGTCCATAGTCCAAAATGCCTAGAGGACGACGTGCGAACATCGGCCGCCGCACAAGACATGCAAGCCAGCAACAAGTGTATTCACAGAACATAAGCGAAGAAAGACAAAATATAATAAGAGAAAATGCCCGATTGAGACAACGCGTGAGCACACGAAGATCATTGGCATCATACAATCGCTTGGCATTCCAATATGATCCCACTGCGAACTACAGTGATGATGAAAATTTAGATATTGGACCAATGACGACTATATGCCGATATTGCAATGCGTTTAAGTTCAAAAGAGAAACGGCTGGATTGTGCTGCGCAAGTGGAAAAGTCAAACTGGATCCATTACTTACACCACACAGCCACTGAAACCATTGTTCGATGGAAGTGATCCCGATGCCCGCTAATAATGCTGTGGTTAATATGTTCAAAACAGCATTGGAACGAATGCCATCGGATACGCACAAATTTGTCATAAGAGCGGATTGTACCCCAACAGGTGAACATATGCGAAGATTCAATGCACCCACCGTTAACCACCGATTTGATGTTGCTGCAATTATTGTTGGCGATACAACTAAATCGCAAGACATTGTCGTTCAGCGAAGAAGCAATATCATGCATCGTGTAAACGAGACACATCGTTTGTACGATGCGTTACAATATCCAATCATTTATTGGCAAGGGACGGATACGACATCACGTTGAAGATGGTCGATCCATCACTATATTCACACACTAATTATTGCTATTATTGGTTTCCATTAACAATTCATTTAATTTTGCATTTTCAGGCGTATCAACGAACAAAAATCTAAGCGCAATGAATTACTATGCGTATTGTATGATGATTCGTACACATGAGGAGAATGTCATTCTGAAGTGCCGTCGGCTATTCCAGCAATTCGCTGTCGACATGTATGTCAAAGTCGAGACCGAACGTTTAGCGTTCATCCGATTCAATCAGGCAAAGCTACGATCTGAGGACTATATACACTTGCGTGATGCTATTCATTCAGATGGTGATGTTCAGAATATTGGACGTCTGACGATTCTCCCATCATCTTATATCGGAAGACCACGCCACATGCACGAACACGCTCAAGACGCTATGACGTACGTGCGAAATTATGGAACTCCGGATTTATTTATTACGTTAACATGCAATCCGAAGTGGACAGAAATTGAACGTGAGTTAGACATAATCGCCAGAGTATTTCAGCAAAAACTCAAGGTTATGATGGATGTGCTTACTAAGTATCGAGTTTTTGGTGACACACGTTGTTATATGTACTCGGTGGAATGGCAGAAGCGTGGACTACCGCATGCTCATATCCTAATTTGGTTGCTGAACAAATTACATTCAAATGAAGTGGATGACATCATATCAGCTGAAATTCCCGATCCAGTCACTGATCCCCATCTACACGACATTGTGACGACACAGATGGTGCATGGACCGTGCGGTGCATTAAATCCATTATCGCCTTGCATGGCTGATGGAAAGTGCACAAAACGATATCCGCGACCGTTAGTTGCTGAAACAGTCACAGGGAACGATGGATATCCAGTTTATCGTCGGCGTTCAAAAGAAGATAATGGTCGAACTATCAAAGTTAAAGTTCAAAATCAAGAGATTGAGATCGGAAATGAATTAATTGTACCATATTGCCCGCTGCTATCACGAATTTTCGAAACACATGCAAACGTTGAGAGTTGTCATTCGGCCAAATCAATCAAATATTTGTGCAAGTACGTCACAAAAGGCAGCGACATGGCTGTGTTTGGTATTGCGTCGGAAAATGCGAATGACGAAATCAGCAACTTCCAAATGGGCAGATACGTCAGTACTAATGAAGCACTGTGGCGATTATTGTCATTTCAAATTCATGAAAGATATCCCACAGTTGTAACCACTAATATGAGAGTTCAACTTCAAAATGATCAAAGTGCTGCACAATTTTCCAAACAATTGTTAGCTGTTGGAAATGGAAAAGTCCCAGTTGATGCGACATCTGGATTAATTACTCTTACCAACGACTTTTGCCGATTTGTAGACTCTCAATTAGCTCTTAATGAAAATGTTTTCGCAAACATTAGTGAGAATTATCAGAATTATGCTTGGTTAAGTGAACGAGCAATTCTTGCCGCAAATAATAATGATGTACACGCACTGAATTTCACCATTCAATCAAAAATTGCTGGCGAGTTAGTTACATACAAATCCGTTGATTCCATAACAAATCCCGATGATGTAGTAAATTATCCAACGGAGTTTTTGAACTCTCTGGAGTTACCAGGATTTCCACCACATAACTTGCAACTCAAAGTTGGTACAGTTATTATGATATTGCGTAATTTCAATCCACCGCGACTTTGCAACGGTACTGCACTTTCGGTAAAAAGACTTATGCCGAATTTGATTGAGGCAACCATTATTAACGGAAAGTACGCAGGTGAAAATGTATGTATTCCTCGAATACCAATGATTCCGACTGATCTTCCGTTTGACTTCAAAAGATTGCAATTTCCAGTTCGCCTTGCGCTCGCAATTACAATTAACAAGTCGCAAGGCCAATCGCTTAGTGTTTGCGGGATAAATTTAGAAAATCATTGTTTTTCACATGGGCAGTTATACGTTGCGTGTTCACGAGTTGGGAAACCATGCGCTTTGTTTGTGTTAACGTCAGACCAAAAAACAAAAAATGTGGTTTACCAAAGAGCACTTCAATGAAACGGATAATTTGCGGACACGTATAACGCTTCGATTCAGTATTTACTTTGGATTCACTTTCATTTACTTAGAGAAGTTCAACTAAATAACACTTCATTTTTGTAATCGAAATGAATTCATTACTGTTGAAATGAAATAAAATTTTTCCTTTTTAAATATAAAACAAAAAAAATATTTTTCTTCTTCTTTTAATCACCAAACGAAATGTTACATAAAACGAAGCCATCTGGTGGCGAAACGGAGTTCGCCGGGTTTGCTTTTAATCACCAAACGAAATGTTACCAAAAACGAAGCCATCTGGTGGCGAAACGGAGTTCGCCGGGTTTGCTAGTAATATTTAAAACTCAAAATCAATTTAAAAAAAGTTTGACTCGTGAAGGATTTGAACCTTCGCCCTCCGATGGTCAAGATTTGAAATATATCGGCGCTCTTACCTACTGAGCTAACGAGTCTTGTTGCATATGAATGAAAATATCTACCCGTTTTATACACATGACGTGGCTTCGACATTCATGGCTATAAATAGGTCAATTCAATTTTGTGGAACGTGACTCACTGACATGTTATTCAGGGGTACGGCAATACGCGGGAAAGTTCTGTAGCCCAAAGTACTATAATGATATATTCACACGAACCACTTCGAGTGATTTTCAGACCCGCTCTAATACAGAATCGGATAAACCTATAGAAATAAAATTTATTTCGTTCAGGTTGTCGGGTCCTTTTTGATGTACTGTATACAATTTTAAATAGTAAATTTCAAAGTAAACTGATCATCAAAAATGATTTCTCAACTTGTAAGCCAACTGTAGCATGACATTTGGTACTTGAGCTCAAATTTTGGCACAGCATACTACCCGCTACCAAGATTATTTTAAACTATTTTTGGCGTCAGCTTTGTTCCTCATTATTCATCAATGTAATCACAATATGCTACAATAAAACTTGCCAGGGTACAACTAGTTATTTTTAAAATTCAGCATCATACATCTGAATCCGCATTGTGAACTTGTAATTACAATTTTCACACGCATTTCTGTGTGTGTTTGTTTATAAAATGCTTACAAAAAAATTGCCTTACGTGTATAGATGTAAATAGTAGCGATACTCATCTAAAAGTAACAGAATCGCTTTAAATAAAAGCGTGGGAAGAAACCCACGCCTTTATTTATAATCACTACGTCACGTAGAGAAAGCCACTTAATATTTTCAGTCCGTTTGAGTAAGACTCGTTAGCTCAGTAGGTTAGAGCACCGATATATAGTTACACTTGATCATCGGAGGGCGAAGGTTCAAATCCTTCACGGGTCAGTATTTTTATCATTCCCTAAAATTATTCTGAATATTTATAACAAATGTGAAGAAAAGTAACAATTAATTCTTGCCGATTTTCCAATTTCAATTAGCAGTAAATAACAATAAAAAGGATGCTCTCTGTTTTTTTTTTATGGCTATTCGCCTATCTGACGATGAATCACCTTGGGAATATAATCGTCTTAAGACGAGACAAAGGCAGAAGAACAAATTGATGTAAGGGAGACGGATACAAGTATAAAACATAGAAATATTTTTTTTCATGACAGAGGTTTTTCGTATTTTATGTGCCACCGTACCATTATTATATACACGTTGTAACTGTATATCAAAGAGCGTAGGTTATCTTTAGGGGTTTTATCAGCCATTGTTTTTCTGGATTCATCCAGAAATATAATGACCGAAAAAAACCCTTTTACGTGTGCAAAGGCGCAGTCAAATACTAGTATAATATAAAGAAAAGAACACTTAAGAACATACCTAACTAATTTTTACAGTTATATTTAGTGGCGATGACTATTTCTTTCTTTAAACCGATACGACCTCCAAACCTTCAAGAAAAGAGCGTACTCCTTCCTCAAAGGCTGGCAACGCGCTTGTGACCCCTGAGTTGCAGGCGTTCATGGGCGGCGGTAGTCGCTTTCTATCAGTTGAGCCGTCTGCTCGTATGTCCCTTTAAAAAATAATAATTTAATAGAAAAATAAAACAATGTATACATATAAGTTTAAAAATTATGGAAAGAGCCAACAGAAATTACAAAGGCGCCTAGTACATGTAACATGTGCATATACATACATGTACAATTTTATTTCAAGGAATAACTATTAACAGACAATTATAGGAAAAAAATATTGCTCATACGGATGAATTGGAAAGTGTATTCACTATTTGGAGCAGGTCAGGGACAGGTATGCATCCCTGACACGTACTTCTTTTAACACGCTTTATATTAGCTTCACTTGTATGTTTGTTTGTATGTTTGTATGTTTGTAACCGACTCCTTTGGGCGTGATTTTGACTGACTTTCAACGGTCAGAATTCGTTCAAACTTTGTAGATATTTCGAGGACCGATAACAATACACTAATTAAAAAAAAAAAAATAGTTTTAAAAAACTAAAAAACAACAAGAAAATAAAAGAAAACTATATTTTTTTTTACTTTGAATGTGTAAATTTTCTCTGAGCCCTTTTTCCTAAACTAGGTTGGGATCGGCTTTAAGTCTGTTACGATACGGCTGAATTTCGATTGTTCTTCCACAACCCAAGTGCGAATCTAAGTTCTGTAGAAGGACTATTGTCGGATTTTAAGGCTCAAACTACCCGTAACAAATGCAGATGTTAGTATGGCAGTCGGGACCGATGGCTTAGCGTGCTCTCCGAGGCACGGAGGGGTTTCAATTTGTTAAGAATGGTAACCCATCCATAAACTGACTTGGCTAGTATTGCTTAACTTTGGAATGTTTTAAACTACTCAGTTACCACTTAGCCACGTTAAAAGGTGTATAAAACATCGTAAGAATGAAAGAGAAAGCGATATTTCATTCGGTGCAAATTAAGTCGATTCCCCTTAATGGTTCTTTTTTGTAAGCTTTCTTTCTTGTCGAAAGACTGATTGACTTTTTAAATTTATTTTTGTGAGTTTTCTCATTATTACTGGTCTTTAATTATTGGTTAAGAGGGTTTTAAATTATATTATAAGTTTGCATTTTGAGGTGCAAAATGTATGAAAGGAAGTAAGTACTTTTCTAATCTGTATTGTTTTTAAATATCTTATGAAAATAATTTTTTAGGGTTCAATTTCTCAAAAGCAAAAAGGAACCCTAATGGGAAAACGTCATTGAACATTTACCTACATTATGAACTCAAACGGTATAACTTAATCCGTCACCACACGGACCGTGGATTAAGAATACATGTCACCACCCCTATTTATCCCGTGGGTGTCGTAAGAACCGACTAAGGGAGAAAACTACACAGAACAACAGCACTGTCAAAAGTAGGAAAACTTGACACAAATTCTATACCAACCCGTCTGGCCAGCGTGGCGTAGTAGGCCAAAACCTCCTTTCTGGGGAGAGGCCTATGTCCAGCAGTGGACTATTAAAGACTGATAATGTAATGTGATGATGTTAACACTAAAAGAGAAATTTCCAAAAACCAATAAACACCTGTGGTTTAACACAAAATGTAAAAAATAACTATTAATGCCTATATATATACTGGTGGAATATAAGTACAAATGAATTTGATTTATAAATGTATTTCAATAAGTTCCACCAAGTGCCAACAGTTGAGAGTAGGTATATGACCATTTATCAGTGTCCGCTAAAGCCCGAGTAAATTGAAAATCGAATTTCATATGTTTATCTCATCTATAGTAAATGGAATTCAGATGGAGTTTAAAATTATCTGTTAAATATCTCGGCTTGAAGACCGTAAGGCTGTGGAAGCGATTTTTGGGTTACATCTTCAGTTTCATTTACAGAAAAAACAGGTAGTGTATCAATGTGTACATAATCAAAAAGTATTCAAAATGTTTGGGTAGATGTAAAACTTTTTACCTCGCGGGTTCGCCGACCCTGCGGACGTGATTGAACAAGTCAACTAGCTGTGACCACAGTCAGTACCACGTCATGTTAAATGATTGCGTCTATTTCGGTATATATACATAACTATACATAATGAAGCACAAAGTTTAAAGGTTTATATTATTAGATCACTACATAGGTACTTATGTTAAACTCATTATGAGGATTGCGCTATTGTATAGGCGAACATAACTGCTGAGCACTCTCATCAATAATTAACTGAGATCGGTATAATACATGACATAGATCGCGGCCGCCGGCAAAGTAGTCTAATTGGCAGCGCTGTAAAGCCGTCGGGCTAATCCGTTAGTAGTGTGTCACCTGGCTAGCGACATCTGTGTGTCGATAGCTTAACTAGATATGTGGCCTATGATGTCATAAATTTTGATGTGATCTGAAAGGTTATATTTTTGAGTCGCGTAAGTTGGAATTTGTCGATTTGGTTTTGTTTTATTAGTATTGGTATTTTTAATAAATATTCAGAGGGTAAAAAATATTACTGGTAGGTATTATTAGTTGAGTGGTTCAAAAATATGACCGGCCGTAACAATCCACCCTCTATCCAAACATACCACGCAACGCGAACTCCCCTCGCGCTCCGCAGGCTCGAGCGCCGTCCCTCGCTCGCCAGCGTCGAGCGTGAGTTGGAATACGCAACGCCAAGAAGCCGCTGGCAGCCGGCATACAACCCCGATCCAGCCTCCACACGTCCCCTGCGGGACGGTGTAAAGACCAGCGCTGCTGTCGCCCCGTCGTCGAAGGAACATCGCCTTAGGATAGTCAGATCTATAATTGTGTGTACGAATACGAAGTGTAAGATATAGACGATTGTTACTTTGTTCATAAATTAAA